GAGCCACAGTAGGCACAGAGGCCCTCGCGCCACCGTCGTTGTCTCTCCTCGGGGGGAAGGTGGCCGAGCTTCATGGGCTCCTCCGCCAGCATGGGTACAGGAGCTGGCGTGGGTGAACGAGGGCGAGGCACCGGCGTCCTGGGTGGACGTGTGGATAACTTGGGTCGAACCAGAACCCGCTGGTCGATGCGCAGCGCCAGATCAACCACCTCATCCAGGGTCTGAGGCAGCTCCCTTCCCGCCAACTCATCACGGATGTAGGGTGCCAGCCCCTCCAGGAAGGCGGCCCGCAGAGCGGAGTCATTCCACTGCAGCTTGGCGGAGATGGTGCGAAACTCCGACGCATAAGCACACACCGAGCCCTCTCGCTGGCGGAGTTTGAGAAGGCGTGTCTCTGCTCCCACTTCGCTGCTGGGGGGAACAAAGGTCTTCCGGAGAGCGGACACAAACGCAGCATAGTCGTTGCAGGCAGGGGATTTGGAATTGTAAAGCGCAGCAGCCCACTCCGCGGCGCGTCCGGAGAGCAGGGAGGTGAGATGCGCCACTCGGGAGCGCGCAGATGGGTAGCGTCCAGGTTGGCACTCGAACTGCATGTCCAGCGTGGCGAGCAGACCATCAGGGCTCCCCGTCTCTCCGTTCCACCTCTCCGGCAGGCTGAAGTGGGGCTCCTCCCTAGGAGCAGAGCGGGTTGGCTGCTGGAGCGCAGCGATCTGTTGCTGCTGATCGTTTGCCTGTTGTTGGAGAGCCGTGAGAGCCGTGGATAGACGCAGGGTGTGGTCGGACAAGGAGTTCACCTTGGTGTTGAGCTGATCTACCATGGAACGCAGCTGCACGTTCTCGTGGCGGAGACGATCGATCTCCGTCGAATCTATTGGGTTCTCAGTCATCCTGTCAGGCTGATCAGACTGGATGAAGGAGACGAACAAGGTGAGACGTTTAATAGTTTTATTAGTTCTCTGGTCGTATCTCCGTGAGGAAGAAACGATGACTGAGATGAGAAGCCGGTCACGGCGTCTTCCATATATAGCCTTGCTTGGCTGTGACGTGGAGGGAATCCCCGCGAGGAGCACGCCGGGAGCTCCCCACGAGGAGCATGTCGGGAGTTGTGGTCCGAAGGTCAGCCGGGAGATACCTGAGTCCTGACAACTTGCAGCTTGTTCATGCTGCTTTGATTGTAGGATGACCACAGTTGGGCTGTGTAGAGCGGAGTACAATATGCTTTAAATAAAGCCACCTTAACTGGAGGTGAACAAAAACCAAACTTACGAGCTATAGTGTTAGCTTGTGCATACAGCTTACAGCACTGTCTGTGGATGTCAGCATCATCACGCATTTGATCAGTTATAAAGTGGCCAAGGTATTTCACCTTCTCACACACATTAAGATCACTATTAGACAGTTTGAACACAGGAAAGTTTAGCTTTTTATCCTGCTTGGTTCTACATATCAAGATAGCACTTTTAACAGCATTATACTGAATATCGTACTGCACACCATATTCAGAGCAGATATTTAGGAGCTGCTGTAAACCAGCACTACTTGGACTAAAGACCACTAGATCATCAGCATACATCAGATGGTTGATCAAAGTTGTACCCATCAAACATCCTGTGTTACAGGCTCTGAGCTGCACAGACAGATCGTCAACATACAGATTAAATAAGATAGGAGACAGAATTCCACCCTGCCTAACACCATTACTAACGCCAAATGGTGCAGAGATGCTGGCACCCCATTTAACCTGTATCTTCTGATGAGCATACCAGTAAGACAGGATTCTCACAATAAACCCAGGGACCCCCCGTAGCTTTAACTTAATAAAAAGTTTTCTGTGGTTTACACGATCAAAAGCCTTAGAAGCATCAATAAAACACATAAGGACAGAAGAATTTCAATTTCTGTACCAATTGACCATTTCTTTAAGTGCGTATATACACATGTCAGTACCATGTTTTGGCTTAAAGCCAAACTGATTATCCAAGGAACTGAGGTACACAGTGACTCTATCAAATATGATTCTTTCAAGAACTTTAGATAAAACACTGGCTAGTGCAATCGGCCTATAATTATCCATACTGGTCACCTTCCCAGATTTGTTCTTAATGACTGGAACAAGCAGAATTGCCATCATTGAGTCTGGTAGTATGCCATGAATCATGAACCCTGTAAAACATAGAGCTAAAAGGGGAGCTAGTCTTTGACTAGCATATTTCAAATGTTCTGCACTAATGTGATCCAGACCAGAAGCCTTATTATCAGCTAGTTTGTGAATAGCATCATGCACCTCATGGGTCGTTACACATATAGATTCATCATTAATTACAGAGCCATCCTCATGCTGGTCACCTTTCAAACAATTAAACAATGCATAATAATGATGTCTCCATAATGCTGCAATATTATCTTCCCCAGAAACACCTTCAACAGCACCTGGTAGAGATGATTTGCAATTATTAACTGTTTTCACATCTTTCCAAAAACCTTTGACATCATGACTCATAAATTTCCTGGCCATTGAATCTGCCCTCATGATCTGCTCATTTTTTGATATAAAACGAACAGCATACTTATATCTGGCATTTGCACGTTTTTTCTGTTCAAATTCCACACCCTGCCTAGGTCTCCCAACCATATCCCAACATTTAAAAGCTACCCGCGCTTCATCCTGATACATGGCAACATGTTCTTTCCAGCCAGGCCTGATATGAGGTTTCTGCTTATTCTTACCTTTGACATGAAAAGGTCTACCACTTTCATACAAAGCGTCCACTATATCCTCATACATAGAGCATAGATCACTTTTGTGTTTAAGAATCTTACAGTTGACATCTTCACACAGGATAGCCTCTTTAGCCACAGAGATATTGTTCAGGTATTGATCTGTATTATAACTATAACCCGATATGTCTTTGTCACTTAATGCTGCCCATTCTAATTTTATATTATCATAATTATTGACATAATTAACTCCCATTGTACTAGGCAGTTGTTCCACATTTATAGAGAAAGCAAGAGGTATATGGTCTGACACAGTTACCCCATATTTTATAGACATGCTATCCAAAGCTGCATGACCATCAGCTGTACTAATACAATGATCCAGCCATGATGTAGTATGCCAACTCTCACTAATATATGTGTAACTGTCTTTTGGCAACAGCACTTTGCTAGATAGAACAAGATCATTGTCTTCACACAACTGTATTAAGTGTTTAGCAAATTGAGATTTTTTATCTGAAAGATCAGCATTAAAGTCGCCCACAACATATATACTATAAGTACTGTGACTTTGAATAAATGCATTAATAAAAGCCAACCTACTAATATATTCCCCTTCATTTCCAGCAATTTCGTATGGAGTATAAATATTAAGGATAACAAAACTAATGTTATTCTGGATATATTGTATGCCAATACACCAATCTACATCCAGTCTAAGTGGCTTAATTACAGCATCAATTCTTTTGTTCCAAAGCACAGCCACTCCTCCTGATATTCTACCCCTGACTATAGCTGTGCTGAGATCAGTAGTTGATTCCCCCACTCCGAAAAATTTAGAGTTAAGGCAGTTAAGTTTGTCCAGATCTTGCTTAGGTAAAAAAGTCTCTTGCAAACACAATATTTCACATTCTTCAAGCAAGCTGTCCACAACAATACGTCGAGCTCTATCCCCTGCATCATGGCCCAGACGCAGGCCACGACAATTATAGGATAGCACCCGAAGAGACATGCTTATGCTGAGGTGCTTGGGCCAGGGGGAACATCCCCTGCTGGAGACACATTAGCAGAGCGGTGTTTTAGCTGTAGTCAAAAATCGAGTCTGGCGATGGCGCAAATGTCTTTCTTTAGAAGAAAGGCTTTTAGCGCTTCTACTTGTTGTGGGTTTAAAGATGTGTCCAAATCATTTAGAACAGAGGAAAGAGCCGCAGCGAACTCCGCTTCAGTCGCCATGTTTATGACAAACTCTATGTTATGGTGTGTGACGTGCGCTACTCAGCGCAGATTGGCTCAGTTAGACTTCTCAGGGGGTGGGGTTATTTGATTAGGAGAGTTCTCAGACCCTTTCTCTGTGCAGATCTAAGCAGAGGAGGAGTCTGGCAGGCCAGGCTATCTCTGGGATGCTCTGTTCTGCATCATTTAGATGTTTCATTTTATTACATGGAGTTAAACTGGAATACTAACAGGACAGTGGTTACCAACTACTAGAATAATAAAAACACTATTTAAACTAAGTAGAAAGTGTAATTTGATACCTGTGGTAATTGTTTAGTTTTCTAATTAGCATATTTATGATGTCATCACGCCACAATGGCGTTAATTTTCCCCATAGCATCTAAAAGAAAGTATGTATGTGTGGGTGTGTGTGTATATACATACATACATACATACATATATATATATATATATATATATATATATATATATATCTTATTGATCATTTAATACTTTTGTAGCCAATCCTCAACGCTACACCTGTTGTGATGTTGACATTTTTAACATGGGATTCAATGAGTATTTCCTCAGTTTTGGAGCCAGAACCAAGTGAATGAGGGGAGAACTGCCATTTTGGTCACTTTGTGGTTGGTTTCAGGTCTGGGTGCCTCGGGTTCCCCTTGATCCTTAAAAGTTTGTGTCGTGAAATTAACACGTTTCCACTACAGCTACTGCTGTTGTTACGAGTAGCTGAAAAACCTTGAAATCAGAATAAAAAACAGTCTCGGAGTATGGGGGAGTTGCAGTTTATTTTTCCTAATCGGAAGTAAGAATTTCCCAGTATTGAGGAACAAGCCAGAGAAAGCATTACATCTGGAAAAACTAGTCACAGGGTTGAACCAGTGACTCTTTTATTTATTTATTTGCTTTGATTTTTACAGACTCAGGAGCACAAGATGGATTATCTCTTATAAAAACATCGCCCGAGTATGTTTTTTTCTTCTTCTGTGTGGCCCTCACATGCTCTCAGATGCTTCATGCCAGTGTGATGTGTGTTTCTCTTACAGAAACAAGTGGACAAAGAGTGGAGATGGATGATGGGAAATCAGGATATGTTGGATCAAAAGTGGATCTCCGCTGTCGTTTCATCAACAGCAACCCGCCTGTTAAAATCTCCCAGGTAATCATCGGCGCTATGTCAATACACTTCTCTCCCCTCTGCAACTCTAAAGTCACTTTGCAACTTTAATGGATATGAAATGCTGAGATGTTTTTCAGAATTATAAAAAAGTATTTAATACTTTTAAAAGCTCCGGCTTCTCAGGAAAAGCAGCAGGCACCTTTTGGTTAGGCAGCAGAAGCAGGAGCTGTCAGTATTGTGACTTTTTGCATCTTAAATTCAGATTGTAATCATGTGGAATAATCTTTGTATTTGTACAACTAACAGGTACCTGATTGCCCCTCACACACAAACACACACACACACACACACACACACACACACACACACACACACACACACACACACACACACACACACACACCTGTCCCTAGTGATTCATAGAGAGCAAAAGCACGAATACTTAATAATATTGTTACACAGCAAGTTTTGAAAACTGCTTTTTGTCTCTGTTCTGATGAAACAAGGAAGTAAAACAACAACTGAATGTTTTACTTTGTTATATGAATTTTATAAAACAAAACTCTCCATCATTTTATGCCAGATCTAGAATTTGTCATTTAAATCAATTTTATTCAATAAAAGTTCTTTAAATGAATGATAAATGACCCGCTCCTGTGTAGCACCTTTCAGAGTCAGAGGACTCCAAAGCGCTTTACACTAAATTAATCATTCATCAATTCACACACTGGTGGGGATGAGCTATGATGTAGCCAGTAGCCACAGCCGCCCTGAGGTGAGGCTGCTGTACAGTGGTGCCACCGGTCCCTCTGACCACCATCTACAGGCAAGGTGAGTTAATTAAGTGTCTTGCCCAAGGACACAACAGCAGAATTCGCTGTCTGGAGCCGGGATCAAACCTGCAACCTTCTGATTACTGGGCAACCCCCTCATACTGTTGAGCTACTGCTACTTTCTAGAGCTCTTTAAAGTGTTTATAATTGCAGCTTCCCTCCCCCTCTTTTTTTTATATCCATCCCTCCATCCATTTTCATCCGCTTATCCGGAGTTGGGTCGTGGGGGCAGTAGCCCAAGTCGAGAGGCCCAGACTTCCCTCTCCCCAGCCACTTGGGCCAGCTCCTCCGGGGGAATCCCAAGGTGTTCCCTGGCCAGGTGAGAGATATAGTCCCTCCACCGTGTCCTGGGCCTACCTTTAGGTCTCCTCCTGGTTGGACGTGCCCGGAAATCCTCACCAGGGAGGCATCCTGACCAGATGCCTGAGCCACCTCAACTCGCTCCTCTCGATGTGGAGGAGCAGCGGGTCTACTCCGAGCACCTCCCGAATGACTGAGCTTCTCACCCTATCTCTAAGGGAAAGCCCAGGCACTCTTCGGAGAAAACTCATTTCGGCCGCTTGTATCCGCAATCTCGTTCTTTCTGTCACTACCTAAAGCTCATGACCATAGGTGAGGGTAGGAACGTAGATCGACCGGTAAATCGAGAGCTTCACCTTCTGACTCCGCTCTAACTTCACCACGACAGACCGGTACAACATCACTGCAGATGCAGCACCTATCCGCCGATCGATCTCATGCTCCAGTTTTCCCTCACTCGTGAACAAGACCTCGAGATACTTATACTCCGTCTCTGGGTTTGTCTGTGGCCCCGCTTTACAAGGACCGTGTCACCTTCAAGAATGCAGCAGTCAGACGAAGAACACATTCTACCCTTTTCCAAATCAAGACCATGGTCTCAGATTTAGAGGAGCTGATTCTCATCCCAGCTGCTTCACACTCGGCTGCAAACCGCTCCAGCAAAAGCTGAAAATCACTTTCTGATTAAGCCAACAGGACCACATCGTCTGCCAGAAGCAGAGACCTGATCCTCAGGCCACCAAAACGGATGCCCTCCACACCTTGGCTGCACCTAGAAATCCTGTGCATAAAGGTTATGAACAGAATCGGTGACAAAGGGCAGCCTTGGCGGAGTCCAACTCTCACTGGGAATGAGCCCGTCTTACTGCCGGCAATGCGGACCAAGCTCTGACACCGGTCATACAGGGACCTAACAGCCCGTATCACAGGGCCTGGTACCCCATACTCCCGGAGTACCCCCCACAGGCTCCCCCCAGGGACGCGGTCAAACGCCTTCTCCAAATCCACAAAACACATGTAGACTGGTTGGGCAAATTCCCACACACCCTCCAGAATCCCCCTAAGGGTATAGAGCTGGTCCAGTCTTCCATAGCAAGGACGAAAACCACATTGCTCCTCCTGAATCTTAGGTTCAACAATCCGATGGACCCTCCTCTCCAGAGCCCCTGAATAGACCTTACCAGGAAGGCTCAGGAGTGTGATCCCCCTGTAGTTGGAACACACCCTGCGGTCCCCCTTTTTAGGGGACCACCACCCCGATCTGCCAGTCCAGTGGGACTGCCCCCGATGTCCATGCGATATTGCAGAGCCGCATCAGCCCCACAACATCCAGAGCATTAAGGAACTCCGGGCGGATCTCATCCACCCTTAGAGCCTTAACCACCTCAGTGACCTCAGCACCAGAGATTTGAGAGGCCAACCCAAAGTCCCCAGACTCTGCTTCCTCACTGGAAGAGGTGTCGGTGGGATTGAGGAGGTCTTTGAAGTATTCTGCCCACTGATCCACAACATCCTGAGTAGAGGTCAACAGCACACCATCCCCACTATAGATAGTGTTGGTAGCGTACTGCTTTCCCCCCTGAGGTGCCGGATGGTGGACCAGAATCTCCTCGAAGCCGTATGGAAGTCTTGCTCCATGGCCTCACTGAATTCCTCCCATGCCCAGGTTTTTGCCTTGGCGACCACCCGAGCCGCGTTACGCTTGGACTGCCAGTACCCGTCAGCTGCCTCTGGAGTCCCACAGGCCAAAAAGACCTGATAGGACTATTTCTTCAGCTTGACAGCATCTCTAATGGCCGGTGTCCACCAGCGGGTTCGGGGGTTGCCATCACGATAGGCACCGACGATACTGCGACCACAGCTCCAGACGGCCGCCTCAACAATGCAGGCATGGAACAGGGTCCATTCAGACTCAATGTCCCCCGCCTCTCCCGGAACATTTTGGAAGTTCTGTCGGAGGTGGGAATTGAAGCTTCTTCTGACAGGAGACTGCCAGATGTTCCCAGCAGACCCTTGCGATACGTATGGGCCTGCCTGTTCTGACCGGCATCCTCCCCCACCATCTGAGCCAACTCACCACCAGGTAAAGGCCAGTTGACAGCTCTGCCCCTCTCTTCAGCCGAGTGCCCAAGACATGCGGCCGCAGGTCAGATGAAACAACAACAAAGTCGATCATCGAGCTGCGGCCTAAGGTGTCCTGGTGCCAAGAACACATGTGGACACCTTTATGTCTGAAACTGGCACAGAAGTCCAATAACAAAACACCACTCAAATTCAGATCAGGGGGGGCGTTCCTCCCAACCACACCTCTCCAGGTCTCACTGTCGTTGCCCACGTGAGCTTTAAAGTCCCCCAGCAGAATGAGGGAGTCACCGGAAGGAGTGCTCCCCACCCCCAAGGTCTCCAAAAAGGGTGGGTAGTCTGAACTGTAGTTTGGTGCATAAGCACAGACCACAGTCAGAACCCGTCCCCCCACACATAAGCAGAGGGAGGCTACCCTCTCATTCACTGGGGTAAACCCCAACGTACAGGCACCAAGATGGGGGGCAACTAGTATGCCCACCCCTGCTCGGCGCCTCTCAGTGGGAGCAACTCCAGAGTGGTAGAATGTCCAACCCCTCTCAAGGAGACTGGTTCCAGAGCCAGAGCCATGTATTGAGGTGAGTCTGACTATTTCTAGTCGGAACCTCTCAACCTCACACACCAACTCAGGCTCCTTTCCCACCAGAGAGGTGACATTCCATGTGCCAAGAGCCAGCTTCTGTAGCCGAGGATCAGACCGCCAAGGTCCCCGCCCTCGACTACCCCCCATTACACACTGCACCCGACCCCTTTGGCCCCTCCCACGAGTGGTGAGCCCATGGGAAGGGGGACCCACATTTCCTCTTCGGGCTGTGCCCGGCCGGGCTCCATGGGTGAAAGCCCGGCCACCAGGCGCTCACCAACGTGCACCACCTCCAGGCCTGGCTCCAGAGGGGGGCCCCGGTGACCCACGTCCAGGCGAGGGAACACGGTTTCCATTTATATAATTCATCATAAGAGGTCTTCGGGCTGCTCTTTGTCTGATCCCTCACCTAGGACCTGTTTGCCATGGGTGACCCTACCAGAGGCAGAAAGCCTCAGACAACTTAGCTCCTAGGATCATTGAGACACTCAAACCCCTCCACCACAGTAAGGTGGCAGCCCAGGGAGAGGTTTTTCTCTTCTTTTTATAAATCAAGTTTTTGTGTCTGACGATAAAGATGAAGGCTATTTGAGCTATTTATTACTCAATTAATCAATACTTATTATAACATTAATTAAACATGCTTAAGTTAAATGATCAGGTTCTGCATACACACAAAACAAATCTTCAAAAAATATTCAGAATCCTCCGTCCTCTCTGTCCATCTTTCCATTTAAGGTAACATGGCAGAAGCTGGTGAATGGCACCAAGCAGAACGTTGCCATTGCCAATCCGTCTCTGGGTTTGTCTGTGGCCCCGCCTTACAAGGACCGTGTCACCTTCAAGAATGCAGCAGTCAGACGAAGAACTCCAAATCTCGAAGATACAACGATCTGCTTCTCATCGCTTCGCCTCTCTGATGACGCCACGTACATCTGTGAATACACCACGTTCCCTGCAGGGAACCGGGAGAACACCGTAAACCTCACTGTCTATGGTAAAGATGTGTGGAAACACCGCAAAACTTCACTGTTTACGTTTATACCACGGATGAGAATTTACATTGATTTGGGTGATTCATGGCTTTTGCTCTTGTGTTCCCTCAGTCCGACCTACAACTCAGATGAGTCTGTCCACCCCGACGCTGGTGGCTCGGTCTTCAAACCTAAAAACTCCAGTAGCGACCTGCATCTCTGCCAACGGAAAACCACCTGGAACCATCAGGTGTGTGTTCAGGACCCAGTCTTTATAAAGAGCCCTTCTTTTTTCTCAATGTTCCTCCCATCCCAACACACATCGTTGATGTGAGCAGGTGGGAGACGAGGGTTCCAGGAGAGGTGACCACCCGGGAGTATGTGAACCCAGATGGGACTTTCACGGTTCAGAGCGACTACATCCTGGTGCCCAGCAGAGAAACACACCGGGAGATACTCACCTGTGTCACCATGTACAACGAGGAGGTCTACACAGAAAGCGTCACCCTTGATATTCAGTGTAAGTGTTACTCATATGTAACAGCAAAGCACTGAGATATGTTGAGGTGACACTGGAAAAAATTATTTTGTTACTATTTGATTTCCAGATGAGCCGGAAGTCACAATCGAAGGGTTTGATGGAAACTGGTACTTGAACAGAGAGAACGTCCAGCTGATCTGTCGTGCTGACGCCAACCCACCTGTCTCTCTGTATCAGTGGAGACTGTGAGTGCGCACGCACGCATGCATGCACGCTTAACTTATTTTGTTACTGTGCTAAATTTATTATCTTTCGGTTCTCTGAAGGATCAATGGCTCCATTTCAAGCAACATTGAAATCCGAGACAACGTCCTCTTGTTTAAAGGTCCAGTCACGTATGACCTGCAGGGATCATATGTGTGTGATGCTACCAACAGCATCGGTACAAGATCAGCCTCGGTGGAGATCGGCATCTTAGGTAAGAGTCCACATCAGTTACTTACATTTACTGTTGGAACTTGTCAGAATTGTATTTTACACCAAGGTGTTGTGAACAGTAAATGTGTTGATCAGTTTTTGTTTGTGTGTGGGGGTTTTAGAAAAGCCTTTACCGCAGATTGCAACAGGTGATGTCATCAGTGTAATCGCCTTACTATTGGCTGCTGGAGTGCTGATGGGCATCACTGTCACAGTCCTAGTTCTCAAAATCAGAAGCAGAAAAGAAAACCCGTATGTAAACCTGATCATCTAAGCTCTTGTTTTTTTCCGTTTACTTCTCTGATTGTTTGTTTTCTCTTTAATCAGAGACGATTCTCCGTCCAGAAAACAGCCGATAAGGAAAAGACCAGATGATATCCAGGTATTGGAGCATTAGGCTGAGATTTTTGAAAGTAAATTACAAAAATAGAGCACAGAAACAATCAATAACTGTTATGTGTTTTCTTATAAGGTTATGATGGTAATGGTGCATGTAAACAAGCTTTTTTTCTGACATGAGATGAAAATACCAAAAACACAAATTTACAATAAAATCATCAAGCTTCACTTAGAATACAAATAAATGTTGAGTTCTGTTTTTTTATTTTTTATTTTACAAACATAATTTACGTAGGCACGACGTGAAAGAAAGAAAAAATAGAAATGATCTTTTATGTAGCACCTCTCAAGATAAAAATCACAGCGGTTATGTGAGCTGGTGTAACAGTGGGCTGCCATCTTGGATGGGTCTCCATTCACCCACAGTGCATTTATTTCTACTGAGGAAGCTGTCTACCCAACTAAAAACACATTTTATGGAGCTTTTTCACAAAATCAGAAGTATTGTATAAATATCATTAAATTAAATACATTCAAATATCCGGGGATTGGACCGCCAAGGCTCCCGCCTTGGTCTGCCACCCGATTCGCATTGCACCGGACCCTTCATGTTCCTCCTGCGGGTGGTGGGTCCACAGTTGGACGAGCCCATGTATCCGGTTCGGGCTGGGCCCGGCCGGGCCCCATGGGCGAAAGCCCGGCCACCAGGCGCTCGCTCACGGGCCCCAACCCCAGGCCTGGCTCCAGGGGGTGACCCCGGTAACCCTCCGGGCCGGGTACTCCGACTCTTCGTTTTAACCGCCATGAAAGATCCTTCGAACCGTTCTTTGTCTCACCCTTCACCTAAGACCAATTTGTCATGGGAGACCCTACCAGGGGCACTAAGTGCCCCAGACAACATAGCTCCTAGGATCATTAAGGAACTCAAACTCCTCCACCACGATAAGGTGACGGTTAGAGGAGGAGCAATGTGGTTTTCGTCCTGGCCGTGGAACTGTGGACCAGCTCTATACCCTTGCAAGGGTGATGGAGGGGGCATGGGAGTTTGCCCAACCAATCCACATGTGCTTTGTGGATTTGGAGAAGGCTTATGACCGTGTCCCCAGGGGCACCCTGTGGGGGACGCTCCAGGAGTATGGGGTGGGTGGCTTTCTGTTAAGGGCCATTCAGTCCCTTTACCAGAGGAGTGTGAGTTTGGTCCGCATAGCCGGTAGTAAGTCGGACCTGTTCCCAGTGAGGGTTGGACTCCGCCAGGGCTGCCCTTTGTCACCGGTTCTGTTCATCACTTTTATGGACAGAATTTCTAGACGCAGCCGTGGTGTGGAGTGTGTCGAGTTTGGTGGCAGGAGAATCTCGTCTCTGCTTTTTGCAGATGATGTGGTCCTCCTAGCTTCATCCAGCTCTGACCTTCAGCTCTTGCTGGGTAGGTTCGCGGCCGAATGTGAAGCGGCTGGGATGAGGATCAGCACCTCCAAATCTGAGACCATGGTTCTCGACCGGAAAAGGGTGGCTTGCCACCTCCGGGTCGGGGGAGAGGTCCTACCTCAAGTGGAGGAGTTTAAGTATCTCGGGGTCTTGTTCACGAGTGAGGGTAGGAGGGATCGGGAGATCGACAGGCGGATTGGTTCGGCGTCTGCAGTGATGCGAACGCTGAGCCGATCTGTCGTGGGGAAGAGGGAGCTGAGCCAGAAAGCCAGGCTCTTGATTTACCGGTCGATCTACGTCCCAATCCTCACCTATGGTCATGAGCTTTGGGTAATGACCGAAAGAACGAGATCGCGGATACAAGCGGCCGAAATGAGTTTCCTCCGTAGGGTGGCCGGGCTCAGCCTTAGAGATAGGGTGAGGAGCTCGGACATTCGGGAGGGACTCGGAGTAGAACCGCTGCTCCTCCGGATCGAAAGGAGCCAGTTGAGGTGGTTTGGGCATCTGGTCAGGATGCCTCCTGGACGCCTCCCCGGGGAGGTGTTTCGGGCATGTCCTGCCGGCAGAAGGCCCCCGGGTCGACCCAGGACACGTTGGAGAGGTTACATCTCCAATCTGGTCCGGGAACGCCTTGGGGTCCTGCCGGAGGAGCTGGTGGCCAAGGCCGGGGAGAGGACGGCCTGGAGCTCCCTAATTGGGATGCTGCCCCCGCGACCCGGACCCAGATAAGCGGAGGAAGACGAAGACGAAGACATTCAAATATAAAATCCTAACAAGAAGGCTAAAAAAGTCAATAGTAATCCAAGTGATCTGTTTTCAATAGTACACCAGTTGCTGCAACCGTAGGCTGTAAAACAAGGCAATAGCTGCCCACCCTGTGTTTACTCCAGCTGGGTTTAGAGAGTGGGGAACCCATCTAATATGGCGGTGAAAAACCATGAAATAAACTAAAACTATACCAGAAAAAAGGGAATTGTTGAATTGTCCACTGCCAAATATTTACTTATTTTATAATATGTAATATTATTGAATGTGCTCTTTAACCACTGTTGTCTTTTAAAAAGCAGCTGAAGACCTTTACTTACTTAAGCTTTTTATTAGTTTAGCTGATTTTTATTGATCTTTATACTGTGAATCTTTGTTTTTATGCTTCTACGCTTTAAAGGTCCGTCTTTTGATTAATTTTATGGTGGGCTTGAAAGATTTTGCTTCTATGGCGCTTTCTTTTATGCTTTTCTGCCTTAAAGGTTTGCATTTATTTTTTATGTAGCCGCATTTTTATAAGCCGCATGAACCATAAACGCTGCGAGTTATGAAGCGCGTTCCAGCCGCGAGCCGAATCACCAAGCGGAAAGTGAATGTGTCAAGCATAAACCAAGCTTAAGGATCAGGTCTCTGCTTTTTGCAGATGATGTGGTCCTTTTGGCTTCGTCATCTCCAGCTCTCACTGAAGCGGTTTGCAGCTGAGTGTGAAGCAGCTGGGATGAGAATCAGCTCCTCTATATCTGAGACCATGGACCAGTGGAAAAGAGTAGAATGCCTTCTTCAGGGCATGCATGAGGTCCTGCCTCAAGTGGAGGAGTTTAAGTATCTCAGGGTCTTTTCACGAGTGAGGGGAAAATGGAGCGTGAGATTGATAGGCAGATTGGTGCTGCGTCTCTTAGGCTGCTGCCCCAGCGACCCGATAAGCGGCTGAAAATGGATGGATTGGTCACTCTTGAGTTTGTCATGCACGCTGACATGAAAATAGTCTCCTACACCTATCTCCTGCATTAGCTTCTGATAGAAAATAGACCGTGAAATTCTAGAATTAGAAAAGCCTGACAGATCTACCTAACACTGCCACTTAACATTCATGGACTCACCCATCTTGACTCACGACGGGGAATACTGTTATTGGTTTAGCTTCCAGGAAACAGCAGAGAATATCTTGGCTAGTAGAAGCTAACCATTATTAGCATTAGTAACTCAAAAACACAGCAGAACTCCTTCAGAGTTGTTATTTGAGGATATAAAAGATCAACGTTGCAGAGCAATGGAGTCAGTAGTAGAGCCGTATTGCTGTTAGCCAATCAGAGGTGATATGTCCAAATATCAGGAAGTAAAAGTCCAGATTCTACTTTCTCCTCCAGCTGTCTCCTCTGTGATGATAATGGTGCTTCTGCGCTTTTTTCCCCTGAGTACAACAAGGAATTCATCACCTTTAACACATTTTTCCCGTTTCTCCTCAGCATTCAGGGCGGTTTTATGAGGAACTTCCAAACACAGCTGACTATGTAAGCTACAGACTGGCATGTAACAAGGAGGATTACCCAGAACCCTTCTCTCCTCCCATCAACAGCCCTCTGTCTTTTCTGCCCCAGCAACCCTACCTCTCTACACAACAAGCTATGCCTGCAATGGCCACCAGCTGCACCAGCACCCCGTCCAAAAACACATTTGTTCCCCCTTCACACAACACAGTTTTTAAATACCCATCCGTCCCAGGTTTATCTTCTCCTCCAGTAGTGGGGTCATACACTTTTCCGAAGGAACAGTACGTCTGAAGGGACATCATATCTGCACTGAGCATTTCAACTGAAGAGAGGAACCTAGCTGGATTATCAGGCAGTGTTTCTGCATCCCACACAGCTATGGAGCTTAGAAGACACTGGTTATTTGGTTTCTATGTTATTGTTGTCTGACTTGTAAACCTAGACTTTCCATCAGATCCGTAACATCATAGATGCATTTTCCCTGAGGCTTCTGTAGCGTGCCCCTTCCCACTGGGAGCATTTCAGAAGAGCAGCAGCTGCTGTGTTCAGTGCAGCTGGTCCTGCAAGATCACAAAATCACAGGAGAAATGCAAGATCAATCATGCTTTCGGCAGTTCACTCAGTAACAAGCGAGGAGAAGGACAACGATATGCGCCACTTATGCATCTGGTGGAAAGCCAGGATTATTTAAAAAAGAGGGGTCCATGTTTAGATTTCAGAGTAGGAAATTCATTAAAAAAAGTGAATTATATTTTAAATGAAAAATATTTTATTTCATTAGGCTGAAAGGATTACCTGGACATTGTTTACTCACTGCTTTATCCACCATCATTTTGTAAAACAATAAAAACATTTGGGAAAAAAGCAACTCTTTGTGTCAACTCCCTACCTTATCTCTGGCATCACTCGTGTCATTCTGTGTTGTACATAAAGCCAATCCATTAATTTACAAGTTTGCTATTGCCTCTTGGTTTTCAGAAATTTTTTTTTTTCTGTGCTTGTATTTGTATCATTTATGTTTTTCTTTGTAATGAGGATAAACTTTCTATCTCTGGGGGATTTATAAAAATAAATGTTTCTTTTGGTGTCTGTGACTGTTGGGCAAACACTGGACATTTTAGCCCTTAATAAAAATGATCAAGTGAAAAATGTCGTAATTTTTGTGAAACTTTTTCATAAGTTAGATGAGCTTGTGGCTGCCACCTGCTGCTGATAAAACAATAAAAATAAAACTAGTGTTAACATAATCTAGAAGGGTACGGTACATGCTTTTGTTATGGTAATGCACAGGCACTGGGCAGAGGAGGTCTTCATGATGATTTAAAAAAATGAACGCTCAACGAAGAGAAAAGTTTTGATTTTGGTTCTACAAATGGACACTAGGGGTGCTAAAAGCAAGCCTAAACTACCTTGTTCCCCTTTAAGTCATCTCTGACCCTGGCGTGACAACATTAGGGATGGCAAACCTGCCAACACAGCTGGTGAGATGGCAACATGGTGAATTTAAGCCACTTTTATGTATGGAGTATTCTTTGGCAGATAGTGGGAGTGTAAGAGGCAGGTTATGGTCTAAAAACGTCTAACCACATTTCTAGGGTGATTGATTTATAAAGCAGGAATTGCGTGCCCTACCTGTAAGTTAGACCGATTCCAGCTTGATCTGCAGCAGCAGGAGAAGCAACATGTATGGCAGGCTGTGACATAATGTGGCAAAATACCACAGGGTACCACAATAGCTGAATCCAACTCAAGGCTCATGATTTTTCTGCAAGTCTTGTATTGTCAAGAACGCGTGATCAGCCCCTCGTTGCCCAAGACATCTTGTTCTGAGAACTCTGTCATAAAAGGATCTGTAGCATTCAGTCAACATTGAGAAGGCCAGAGCTGGTGGTTAATATTTTATTGAAGCCATCCATGTCATCAACCAACGTAAGAGCTGTGCAAACAACCATGTTTAAATTCATTTTCATCAACAATAATACATAGGTAACTACATTGGTACCTTTCCTTTTGTAAAGTCACATCCTTTTCACAAACACTTTCAGTAACATAAATGTGCTTAATTACATTATTATATATTATATATAACCATAAATAAGGTTGTAAACCTTGTTCCCCTTATCATCTGAAGCAAAAATAAGTTATTCTTTACAATATCCGTGGTTCTTTCTCCGTTTGCTGTTAATGAGCTTGCAATCACTTTTAGTAAAAATTATTATTTTTTTAATTACGTTTATGTACTTCCTTTTCATGTTACCACACTTCCGGTCACCAGGAAGTTACCAAAATAAAAGCTTTTGAACGTAAACTGCAGAAACACATAACAGTTAACCTTTACAGGATCAAAAAAATTCTCATGAGTATTTGGTCCACTTATAAAAGCCAATGGTATCATTAAACTGCTATTTTCCTAACATCTTATAGCAGCTAGCTGTGCGAGCTAATGCTAACTTGAACACAGACAGAAACAAGAATAAGTTTTTGGGCCGGGCCATAGCTACCCCTTCTACATAAAACTACTGGTTTATTCATTCTCTCTCTTTTAAAGAAACACTAAAATCTCTTGTTCACGAGTGAGGGAGAGATGGTGAGGGAGATCGATAGGCGGATTGGTGCTGCATCTGAAGAGCTGAGCCAGAGGCAAACCTCTCGAGTTACCCGTTGACATAAGTTCCTACCCTCACCTATAATCACGAGCTTAGGGTAGTGACCGAATGAACGAGATCACATATACAAGCCCAGGGTGGCTGGGCTCTCTCTTAGAGATAGAGCTAGATTATCCAGGAAGGGCTCAGAGTGGATCCGCTGCTCCTCCACATCAAGAGGAGCCAATTGAGGTGGCTTGGGCATCTGGTTAGGATGCCTCCTGGTTAGATGTCCCACCAGGAGGAGACTTAAAGGAAGACCCAGAACACGCAGAAGGGACTATGACTCTCGGCTGGCTAGGTAACGCCTTGGGATTCCCTCGGAGGAGCTGGCCCAAGTGTCTGGGGAGAGGGAAAGTCTGAGTATCTTTGGTTAGGCTGCTGACCCGCAACTAGACCCCAAATAAGCACAGGAAAGCAAAGGAAAACAGATGGATTGATAAATGGGTGAACAAAATATTTTGAACAATACTGTTTCTAGCAGAAATTTTGCTGGATCAAAATTCCTTTAATTCAAACTGCATCCATGCACCTTTAAACATTAGTAGCATGGCCAGGTTATAGTGCATTGTCAGGAAACATCATGCATCTTTGCCAAGATGCAATATTTCGTATTTTTAATCCTACTCACAACTGTAGAGGTTATTGTGCTTCTCTAGTCTCTCTATGACCTTTTAGATTAGAATGTGACCTCTTTTATAACAAACCTCAGCCGATAAAACCAGAGCCATGGTAGTATTGTGTGTGTGTGTGTGTGTGTGTGTGTGTGTGTGTGTGTGTGTGTGTGCCAAGCCACAACAAACATGGGCATGAGAAACAACGCAAACTAATTCATATCAAATTACGTTCAGGTCATTTAAGTCCAAATCAGATCCAGGGTCAGATCTAGTTACATAATCCAATCCAGTTATAAAACTATACTATCAAATTCTGGTGATTATGATGCAAAAATGTTTATCTACGAGAATCAGCAGGCCATAAAAACAATTTCAATTCAGTTCAATTCAAGTTTATTTATATAGCGCCACATCACGACAAGAGTCGTCTCAAGGCAACGCTGAGCACAGCAACCCACCACCCCAGACCCCAACCAGACGGCCAGATCTCCCTCCTAGCCTCCAGCCCCAGGAAGCCTAGCAACAACAGAGGTGGCTAAGACCCCTAGTCTCCCTCTGCCTGCTCCAATGTAGTGTTGTGTGATCATGAGGTGTATTCCATGGCTGTGGTGACTGGGCAGTGCGGGCATCATCCGACCTATGCCAGCTGATGCCACCGCATCACCCCACTTACACCCTCAGCCATCAGTGTCTAAGTGCTGTTTAAAATTGGAAGTGGGCACCGCCACTCGGGAGGAGGCTGAAATATCCCCCTGCCAAATGTTGTTGATTGTGCTCACTCCCAAGGCCCTAAGTGTGTGTTTGTGTGGAATGTCGTCAGTGGAAGTGTATAAGGTGCAAATAAAATTGGGGGGCAGGTTGCCACAGGAATGCGGAAATGGGGTCCATACCCGCACTCCCTGACTTGCCCACCCCCCAAGGTCCTATGTGTATGTTTGTGTGATGATGTGAGGGAGCAGGAGGAGAGAAATATGCAGGGATGGGGAGGAATGGCTGGTTAGGCTTAGCCCTCCAGTGAGCCAGCTCCCCTACTGACCCCAATAGGCACCTCTGTTGTCAAACCGCCACCCAGGGCATGGAGACCCCAGCCCATCCTGCCAGGGCCCAAAGCAGCAGCATTACAGAGCCCCACGGAGTCCGAAGGCACCAACCCAGCCCCACCCCAGCAGAATATCTATGCCCATCCTTGCATTTGCACAACTTCCAGAATATATAAGACATGGGACATCCAGGTAAGGTTGGGTCCTCCCCCTCCTGGACCTCCCCCTCCCCTGTGATGGAACGGCAGAGGAGCCAATGTCTACCTGAGGCCCCTGAACCCGGGTCAGGCACTGCTGCATGTTCCTGCCTTCTTCCCGGCAGCATACCTGCCAGGACCCGACCCCCAAGGCCCCGCCCAGATCCCCACACGGGGCCAGCCACCTCCAAACCCCGAGCCCCCAGGCCCCCACCCAGACCCGCCCAGGGGCATTGCAGCCGCCAGGCAGTGACCCATGGCCACCGCCAATATCCCCAAGGGGCCCCACTCACAACCGCCAGTAGTCCACCCCCCGAGGCAACCCAAGCACCTCCAGAGGGGGGCAACGGCCCCCCAGTCCCAGACACCCCCAGTGAACCCACCTCCAGGGAACATCCGGATACTCCAAACTCAGACCCCCCCCCCCCCCCCCCCACCCCCACCCCCCCCACCCACACTATCCCGCAGGACAACATCAACGGCCCCCCACCTTCGCTATGTGATGGAACCGATCAAAGGAGCCCAGAGAGATTCATCTGAAGTGGAAGCAGAGGCTATATCAAGTGCAATATGATCTAACAAAAGATTTCTATACTGGTTAATGCAGAGAGTTTCTTTATTTTTCCAATTCAAGAGGATAGTTTTCTTAGCGATGCATATGGCAGTCAGAACCACGTGAACCAAAGATGTTTCAATCGGGACATCGTCCAGGTTTCCCAGTAAACAAAGAGAGGGGGAAGTTGGGATATGACATTTCAGACATTTTGACAGATCCTCACATACTCTACCCCAAAATTCCTGGACAGGTGGGCAGGACCACAGTGCATGAATGTAATTGTCAGGAATGTTGTTTGTGCAGTGTGTACAGGTGTCAGACGACACAAACCCCATCTTGAACATCCGATGACCTGTATAGTGTACTCTGTGTAGAATTTTGTACTGAATGAATTGTAAATTGGGGTGTCTGATCATTTTAAAAGTTTTTAAACAAGTTTGGGACCAGAAGTCCTGGTCAAAGCTAACTGATAGATCCACCTCCCATTTTTCAATAGGGATTGCAATTTTATCGTCTATTTTGGACAGTGTCTTATATACTTTAGACAGTAGTTTGGGGGGTTTGAGATTATAGAAGTCTAATACCCTTGGTGGTGTTTGTAATTCTATTTTATTGAGCTTAAATTTTTGTTTGACTACAGATTTAATTTGGTGATATTCTAAAAAGCTGTTCTTATCCATTCCAAATTGGGAGACTATTTGATTAAATGGGATGAAGTCCAATCCTTCATATATGTGTTCCAGGTATAGGATTCCTTTATTTTTCCAGTCCGGAAGGTTCATCATTTTGTTTTTTTGCAAAATGTCAGGATTATTCCAGAGAGGTGTGCGGCTGCATGGTACTAGTGAAGACTCTGTCATTTTAAGATACTCCCACCATGCTGTCAGAGAAGTGCTGATACTAATACTTTTGAAGCTTTCATGTTTTCTTATGCTTGAGCTAATAAATGGTAAGTCAGAAAGCTCTATCGTATTGCAAAGTGTCTGTTCTATATCTAACCAGGACTCATCTAGTGGGTTATCTTGCAACCATCTTGGTATATATTGCAGCCTGTTGGCTAAGAAATAATAATAAAAGTTGGGTAAATCCAGTCCTCCTCTGTCTTTG